AAAACCATATGTGGCAACTTCTGGCGTTCCACAGAGCTCGCATCTTGGTCCGATACTGTTTCTTATTTTTATAAATGACATCGTTGATCACATACATCACAGTGACTATTATCTATTTGCTGCCGATATGAAATTAATTAAATCCATTCGCTCCGCGGAAGATGTCCATATGTTGCAGGAAGATCTCATTAATATAAAACTTTGGTGCGATAAAAACTATGTGCAACTAAATGTAATCACAAAAAATTTACCAAAAATAAAAGTATTGTTAGGTCTTCTTTCTATATTGATGGTAATTTAGTGGCAGAAGTGGACTTAGGTGTCACTCTGGACAATAAGCTTAGTTATGTTGCTCATTATGACAACATTACAGCACATGCCTTTGAAAATGCTGGGTTTGATAAAAATAAATACTAAAAGCTTCAAAAATATGAAGACGCTAATATCTTTATACAATTCCCTTGTCCGTAGTGGCATTGAGTTTGCAAGGGTCGTGTGGAACCCCACTTATCAGGTGCACATTGATTACATTGAACGCGTACAAAAATTATTTACACGGTATCTAGCTTTTAGGCCCCTGGCTTTAGTAACAAAAATGAATACCAAGGACGCCTGGAATATTTCAAGCTTGATTGATTGTCAACGGAAAGGCATAAATGACCAGGTTTTCCTCTACAAGTTGCTGCGGGGGGAGTATTATCGAGAGTCGCACATACTGTTCCACGGCCAAACTCAAGGAGGCAACTTAGCAAAACCTAACGTGCCCTTTTCCAGGACAAATTTACAATTTTTACTATGGCCTGAGTATTCATGCAAATTTAGACATATATTTTGACAGTTTTCGCCGTTATAAGGACAAAGTTGTCGCCGCCCACTCGTCAAATATTGGTAGATAATAAAATTTTTATTCTTTTTTTTTAATTTTGGACATTTCAATTTTGTTTTTTTATGTATATTTAAAATTAATTAACTATTTTAATTAATTATTATAGTATATTTTAAATTCATTTAAAATTAATCAAATGTAAACAGTACGAATTAAATGTACATATATTTAGAATAATGAACACATACTTTATTATTTTCATTATGTTATTTTTAAGTGATTATGACAATGATGTGTTCCTCTGTAATTGGCTTACATACTAGTCTTGTATTATTTCAATAATGTATGTAAATTTTAAGTATGTTAAGCTATTGCTGAACCAATAAATAAATAGATAATAGCACTTACTATACGGAAGACGAAGAAGTACTTATTTCTTTCGACTGTACCTATCTATTACGACTAACTAGCTATGTTAGGGTGCCATGACATATTACTAAGCTTGTGAGTGCGCCGCAGTCTGAAAAAGATTGGGAGCCCCTGGTCTACGGTGTTACAAGAGGTGGTAAAATAAACGTAACTTATACTTTTATATTATGTCTATTCTTTCGTATTTTCTTCGCGAAAATGAGCTCTAGCGAGTAGAGCGAAAATACAATAACGGACTGCACTCCGCCTAATTTAAAACAAGAAACAAAATTTGTCATGGAAACTTATTTTTTGCTTTTTCTAATACATTGTCCTTCATTCCGGCAATCCTTTACTTCCTAGCCTCTAATAGCATTCTATTACTGACGCTTGTGTTTTGCAGTTACAACCATCCAAAAGACTTGTGTCTAATTAAACATTATTAAATTAAAAAAATATATATATTAGGTCCCTCCCTACTACAATCCGTTCATTACTGAACTTGGGTGTTCTAGTATAAAATTATTGTTTAGATGTCAGTGCGGTAGATGAGCAGGTTCAGGTTAAAAACATACTGTATGCTTTAAATGTGGAGTGCTGGTCACATTGTCTCTTCGGTTCTCGTCAGCCTGCAACCTCTGTGCTAGTTTTGCGTCTTCCTGCTCTTGCTTCCGTCTTTCTTCTTCTGCTGCACGTCTTTTACTCTGCAATGATCAACATCGACATTTCTATATTCACTACTATTATCAATTACATATTTACCCTTAAGTGCATTAAAGAGCATGTAAAACTCGACACTTTTGAACATATTATCTTATACTCAAATATTATCTACTTTTGAGTATATTATACACTCTCGGACTCGTAATTCGAGCCACCTCGCATTTTCAGTATTACATGCCCTGCGCTTAAACAATGTTTGATTGATCTAAAACTATTAAGCAAATTTGAAACTAGTATACTAAACTTCTTTTCCATAAACCCCTGCTGGAAATTTGGATTTGCAAAACCAGGGGAAAACTTTTTCTTCAGCGAAAACACTACTTTTGTATTCTAGCCCTTTAGACAACAATGCGAGGTGGCTCGAATTGTGCCCGGAAGTATATGTTGGGCACGATACTTCGATGTGCTCGAATTTGAAACTATAAGATATGATATATGAAAGTTGACACCTTGAGCTAATCAAGCATGACTTCTTCTTCTTCTTCTTTATTTATTAGTGCTTGTTCTGTGTCTTTCACAAATCCGCCATATCAACCATGACAATTTGAGCATAGCAGGTTTGTATATGTCAAATTTGACATTTTAAGCATGACAAGTCTGACACTTTAAATAAATAAATATTAGACATCACATATGTACGTTGCTCTGATCCCAAAGTAGCTAAAGCACTTGTTTTATGGAAATCAGAAGCAATGACAGTACCCAACACCCAGACTCGAGACAACATGGAAAAGTTTTCTACACTGACCTGGCCGGGGATCAAACCCGGGACCTCAGTGATGGTGTCACCATTAAAGCCGGTGTGCAAGCCACTTGGCCATTGAGGTCGTCAGAACTTTGAATACGTCAAGACAATTTTTTTTATTAACAAGGCTACGTCCATTGAAAGCTCAAAAAAAAATGTACAAATACAACAAGTATTCAACTTACTGAATTCTCCTTATAAGTCTGATGTTCCTTCGCATATTGATCTAACAATTTCTGCTTCAATTTCTCAGCTTTTGGCATCACCTCCTTTAATTTGGTCTGGTTCACTATCTTTACCTAAAACAATAACCTAGTTATAATTTCTGAAATATTACGAAACTATTGCAAATTTAAATTATTATACCGATATAATTTAAAATATCATTTGAAATATCATAAGGGACATTTGTAGTACGGAACATTTTCCATTACGACAAAATATTCCTTATGACATTTCAAAGGAGATCCGCCAAAATGACCCCAGGCCCGGCGCCAAAATAATGTAACTCAGTTTTTAGAGTAAAAATAGCAATAATATTATACAGTTTCGGTATTGCTAAATTCACATGCTAACATAGTTTTTTTGCCTGTTGAATTTTCATAGGAGCTTTATGAAAAATTCTATTTATTAGAGAAGCGTCGTCCTTTTTAGTTCATTAACATTGTAATAAATAATTATGGCATATAAGCATGTATATCAATCATATTATATAAACATCTTTCATTTGCAGTTATATTTTTATTTAGAAAAAAAAATAGTATAAACTTCCCATAAATAAATAGAAGAATCAAGTCAAATGTTTTAGTTTTAGCTTTTTGTTTGTATTATATAATGATAAATATATCAACATTCGCATAAAGGTACAACAACAAATACGTTCAAACAAATAATTTAAAAAAAGTATATTTGTATTGTTATATTATCGCTTTACGCGACTTTACTTAATGGCCGCATGACCTTCAAGCAATCGGCAAAGAAAGGATGAACACGCACGGATGAACGCACCTGTGACGTGAGGGCACAACTGGATACATCTTATTGTCTCGCTCACATATAATGGTTTAGAGGGAGAAACACGCAGACGCCCGCTTTGCTTTGGCGTGCTCTGCTCACGCGCAGTCCTACGCTAACGTTTGTTGTGTTGTGTACTGTGAACTGTGCGATACCTTACCTTGATCTTTATTTTACTTTGTTTAACCCTCCCGGACTTTTGATTTTCTTGTGAAATGGCAGACGTTTGTATTTTGTGTACACGATCATTACGGCAACGTCGTAGACATTTCATAGTTTACAGTACAGTACATACATGCTTATACGCCATAATGACTAATTACAAGATTAATGAACTAAAAATGACGACATTTCTCTAAAAAATTTAATTTTACAAAGAGCCCCTATTAAAATTCAACGGGCAAAAAGACAATGTTAGCATGTGAATTTAGCAATACCGAAACTATATAATATTTTTGCTATTTTTACTCTAAAAATTGAGTTACATTATTTTGGCGCCGGGCCTGGGGTAATTTTGTATGGGATTTGGCGGATCTCCTTTCCACCGTCGATATTAACACTCTCAGGGTCGTATTCTAGAACTCTACTCAATGCTTAAGTCAGGATTTGAGTATGGTTTAAAGCACTTGATATCATACTCAAGTCCCTGCCATTAGGGTCGTATTTCCAGTGCTTGTGTTGCCAGTGCAATCCTGACTTGAGCATTGAATAGAGTTCTAGAATACAACCCTCAGTGCCATAAAAATAACGATTTTTCTGAATGCTACTTAAGAAAAATCGTTTTTTCTGCCATGTGGGCGGCGACGGGACAAGCATTTTTTTTCACAGCACACCACGCCTGATCTTAACTAAACCTTTGTAGCAGGCCATGTGGCCTGTCGGCGGGACACCTAGCCAGCCAGGCAGGACACCAAGCTTTACCAGCAGGCCGCTTAGTACGCCGTGATCCTACCAAAAACAGATGGATGTAACCATTAGGGACGAGATCGATACTTGATTATGATCTGAATCAGTTGTTAGCCGAAGAGCCAAACAAGTAGCTGTATTCGCTGAATGCACAACTTATATTGTCGGCCTGCTGATGCAACCTTTCACTGGCTAGGATTCGAAAAATCGAAAATAAATTTTGATTCCTAATTGTGGTATTCCGGCGACCCATATGGCCTGCAGGAAAAATTCGAAAATACATTGCAAATAATTGCCTTACAGTCGAAGTTTGTGGGCGGCCGGCAGCCCACATGGCGCTGACAGTGTTAATAACTTTCACAGTGTATACAGCTCTTTACCTTTGACATATCAGGCCAAGCATACAACAAAATATGCACATACTGGTGAAGAGAATTAAATTTAAAGAATATAAGAAAGAATACTAATTCCTATTGGAATCATCACCACGCTATTAATATTATTGTTATTAAATATTTTAATGTCATTGAATGAATTCTGAAAATAAGCTTTATTGTGTTTTAATAACAGGATAATATAATATGCATGAATCAATATCACTTTCTGGTCAAATTGAAGTAATAATATGTATCATTCTAAAAATATCCTTGTATAAAAAGTAGTTAAGCTTTTTAATCAATTTTATTTTACGGCACCAATATTAAGCTAGTCCATGAGGCCTATTATTTACCAAAACTAAGCTGAAATGTACTTGGACTAAGCGGCATTGGGATGTCAAAATAAGTAAATATCATTGGTTGCTGAAACACAGGTCTCCTCCATTCTGATTTGGTTATTAATGGGTCTCACCCACACGCAAAATAGGCGCCTTGACGTCGAGTTGCGGACACTAGCCCGTTACACCAAGTACCAAGTAATGGGTCTCACCAAGTACACCTTCCAAAAGAATTCTTTCTTTTATACAGTTCTAAATGGTGTCATAATTAGATGATGCCATATACTCAACCATAAAAAAAATGTTCTAAAAATATTGTTGACTGTTTCACATTGATACCGAATGAAAGCACTGGCAATAAGACCGTCCATTTTAATTATGGGTTAGTTGAAATTCCCTACACAGTCGCAAACATATACAAGTACTAATACTAACTTGGGCAGGTACAGAAGTGTACTCTGGATGCTTGCGAATCTTCTCCACAAATAAAGTCATAAATTTCATATAAAGGATGTAAGCGTTCTCAAGGTTGCCTTCTTCCAAGTATACATTCGCCATTCTGACCATCTCTAGACCTGAACGGTAGTACCTGTGGACACAGATATATAAATAATATGATATATGAAAGCTGATACATGAGACGCACAGTAATGGGGTCAGCCAGCATTCAAGTTGGGCAATGCGATGATGGTGTGTGTTGATAGAGATATCTAAGCGATGTCAATATTGTCAACAAATCGGATTTATTAATTGAGCATTGGCTACTGAGCCATCAGCTTAAAAAAGTATCATTTATAACTCAAAATGTAATATAAAGTGAAAATTAATTCATAACTACAAAAACCCGCCATTTTTCCCCTACTTTTTAGTCTAACAAATCCTGATGTCACAATAGTATTTACTACGAATTTTAATGCATTCATTTTTCCAATTCAAGATTAAAAAAATGTTTTCAAAAACAACTTGAGCTTACAAAAGATCTCCTTACATGACCCCTATGCCTATTCGAAATATAAAACACCTTGCTTACTCTCAGAGTAGACACTTTTCATTATATTAATTTTTGGTTCAATTTTACACATTTTCAGTGCACGCTGAATTTAACCAAGTGTGATAATATATGAGTAGGCAGATGATACGGTCAATGTAACATAGCAAATAAAGGTCATGAAGCAATCAAGTGAAACCGAGTGAGTCACTTTATTAATTATTTTAGTAACATGAAGAATAACTAAGTTTTTACGAATTAAGTGAGTCTTACCTCCTCGGGGGTACATTGGGATCCACCTCTACCATGGCGCCATAAGTCGCCAGCTGCTTTACCCTGACTGCTGGCTCCAGGCTCGCCAGGTCCACTGACTGCCGTGTTCGCTTTTCCTCCGACTGCATCCTTCCTAATACAAAAACAAACTTCCCGCACTGAACAATCTATTTAGCTTCACTTATTCACCAAAACACTACACTACGACTGAAAATGAACACTAACACCGTTTAAAATTAAATTTTTACCGAAACTTGGAAAATCCAAGAATTCATGGAAAAACAGCACAACTACAAGCTGTCAATCAAATGTCAATGCAAAAGTAAACGTGATTTTTGTGAAAGATAGCACAGTTTTAAAACTAGTTTTGGTCTCTTTCACACTCTATGGAATTAAAATAATTGCGTCACCTTTTCGTATTACAAACTCCTGGAAGAATACATTTATATATTTAGCCGGGTTATACGACAATGTGACATAAAATCTTTTTCTGTTTCTAGGCTTACATTCATAGTTATTTAGCCACATTAAGCGCCGAGGCTTTTTAAAGTAACAACACTGAAAGTAAATACAGTAGTTAAACTTGAAAAGCTGTACCTACTTTCTATAAATGAAATATGCTGAAAGCTCTTTTTTAATTTCCGCTAGCCTAATAACTATATTATTGGTAAAATGTATCAATATGTGTGGAATAAAATGTAAATACTTTTATTGCAACTTTACCTACTTTAACTTTAACTTTTATGCCGCCAAACAGTAACGTGAGCATTACTGCGTTTCTGTTTTGAAGGGTAAGTGTGCTGGTAAAATACAGCGATGAGTAAAACAAGGTTAGGTACCCACTATCCCCAAAACTTTATAATGCTACTTTGGAAGAGATGTTTAAGACCCTAACACCCAGCTGGACAGGAAGGGATATTGATTCGGTGGAAAAAGACTGACGTAATTAATCTACGTTTCGCTGACGACATTGCTCTCTTCCTCAGCTATCGAACTCGGCACAATGTTGAACCAACTCAATACCGCGAGCCTCAAGGTTTGACTCTTCATGAACAGGTCGAAGACCAAACCATGACCAATTCCACAGTAGACAGGATACAGGTAGGGGATGGGATTGGATTAGTAAGGGATTAGTAAGTGCTATGTGCATGAGTACTTGTATTTAGGCCAATTAGTATCTTTTCGGAGGAGACAAGGTGCGAAGAAAATGCCTGGAAGGGCTATTGGTCTATGAAACTTTTGATGAAAGGCGACTTACCACACACACTCAAAAGAAAACTCATGGACATGTGCATTCTACCCATCCTCATCGACGGCGCACAAACCTTGTCGCTGACAGCTGGGAAAAAGCACAAACCTGGGATCTGCCAACGAGCTATGGAGCGCAACATCCAGGGAGTTAAATTGTCAGACCGAATTAGAAACAGTGATCTGCGCTCGAAAACACGAATGATACATGTGGGCCAACAAGCGAGACGCAACGAGAACAACAGACGAGACGTGGGCAAAGGCCACAACAGAATGGCTCCCCAAAGATAGAGAACGACCATGCATCAGGCGAAAGCGTCGAATGAGAGACGAGTTAGACGCGCACTTATAAGACTGGACCTCAGTGGCGCAAAACAGAGAGGTGTGGAGAGACGGAAGGTCTTGCCCAGCACTGGGACAGAATAAGCTTTAAAAAAAAAGTGTGCTGGTGCAATTAGAGGCACATGGGACTTGTCAATTTATGTCTCAGGATGGCGGGCGCAGTGGTAGTGCCTCTCGGATATTTGCGATTAAAAGCTCGGCGCACGACTTGTTCGTCCCTTCACTTGCTATCATACGTGTATTGTGTATTCGAGCCTTTACCTTTAATTTTTGTTTCATTATTATTCAAACCCTTGCATAATCAATTACTAAAAAAAGCACGAACTTGCTTTATTTTTTTTTATTGCCATTTACGAAGTGTATACTGCAGTGATACGAACATTTTATACTAAACGTTATTATTATATCACAGTTACTGCGTACTCGGATGACAAGAATCCATTTAGTGAACCGGAATATTTTTCAAGTGGTGTTGAAAATTAATATAAAAATGACAATAGTGAACAAATTTCTATTTACAGCGAGCAACCCTATATTCATTCTTCTCAGGGGAATCTGCTTTACGAACGAATAGTGGTGTTTATCAAATATGTGATTTATTATTATATAATTATATAAGTACACTATTATTATAGATACACTACAGAGTGTAAAATTATTATGCTACGTAACGTAGACCACAACTTCTACAGCTAAAAGGGTCTTACAAAGAGCAACTTCTAAAGTTCCTTATACATTCCTTTTAGAAAAATCTGCCTTATGTAATGTAAGTGTAATTTGCTTACCTATAAAATAAAGCTAATTTGAATTTGTATTGAAAATGTGGTACAGTCAAGAGAACGCTTGACACTTTCGACCTTTCTTATTGCAAACGGCATAGAGTTGAATGTAACAATTTATAAATAAATACGAATTTTTTGTATGATAATTTCATATATTTAATATAAATAAATAAAAATAGTTAACCGTTATTTTAGTTAATAAGAAACGTCACATGTTTGCAAAAATTTTGACATGAATCAGGACCAAACGTACATCAAGCTTACTTTAGATTTAATTTCAACTCTATGCCGTTTGCGATAATGATGGTTAAAGTGCCAAGCGTTCTTTTTAACTCATGTATTTAAGTCTCTGGACATATTTCGAACCTGTCCGGAGTATTTAATCATGAGCTTCCAAGGCGGTAACTCGACGGAAACTGCCCGATCACTCTGAACGGATGTGGGCGCAGACGACGGCTGCGAGCAACTACTGGTAACTACCCTTGTTTGCTTTATTCTTATTAAAGTCTGAGGTATGGATGATTGCACAAGGCGGCAGTGTATTGTACATTACTATTCTGCGTCACTTTCTGAAGTCTCATCCACATCCATTGACGTTAGTACCTGATGGCGGCACTTCACAAGACCACTTGTATTCGCTGTTGGGGGCTTGATGAACTTCAAAAAATATTTGACGTACAGACAAACTAGCAGACGAATATGACGTCCACACATGGAGCCATGGGTGATAGGTTTACTTGGATATCTGCCTATTTGGCTCTTTTGATTTGCGTCAAGAAACCGACTTGCGCGTGATAATGCAAGTTTGGTGTTTGCGGTATTTGTCAAGTAGGCAAACAAGGCAAATACTTTATCACACATGCTATCCACACATGGTGATTGTAAATAATATATATCAAATACGCAAATAAAAATAAATATGAAGTGCCACCATACTAGACGCCTGGAAAACAGTATTAGGTGCTATCCGAGTCTCACGGCAGCCTTCAGTGTCATCGTAAGCAATCGGATAATAGTAATATATTAATTTTTAGATACGCTGGTTGGATAAATTATTGTAAAGCACCTACTCCTGGTATCTAATCTCATTTATCCCAATGCATGATGAGGAATGCACATATTTTCCAAACGTCGTGAACCTTCTTCAACGTGCAAGTTTCGTCACAACACTTTCCTTTACTGTTTGATAGGTAACCATTCATAAACGTACGTGACTGAGAAATTCGTATATGTCGCCCCTAGGATTCAAATCCTCGTCGTTGATCTTTTCATTACGACGGAACTATTCCCAACTGGGTAAAATAATATTTTTGAATTCCAAGTACAGTTTCTCGCTTTTCAATTGTTATTTTTTCCACATCAAAGACAATACTCGAGTACATCATCGGACAATATTGACTTCCTAATCATGAAGAAAATAGTGGTAAAGACCATGGTAATTAAAAACTATATAGATATAATATGTTAACGGCAATGTGTATCATTCAGGGATTGTATAGAATGCCTAGTCATTC